GAAGACTTTAGGATTCAAAAACTGAAAAAGGAAGTCGGTCGCCTTGCACAAATGGGGGACCAACTGAAGATCATCACAACTGGAACCCCGACTCAAAAGTTCGGGGTGAACTGAAGGATAGTGTAGTAAGAAAAAGACTTGGTAGGGACCTTAGATTCTTGAGCCACAACAACTCATGCGTATCACTCATCTGGCCATAAGTATCATCTTGGACTGTGCAAAAGCAGAGTCCTTGGTGGTCATGGACTCGAATGCTCCCAAGGAGGTGATGACCGTCAACACAATGAGACCCGTTGTCGATTACCCTCGTTTTTTTGTGCCAAAAAAACCGAGGGTAATATTAACCTTGTCAAAAATTCGACGGTCACATTTCTATAATGGAATAAAAGCTGGCCCAAACTCGTCTTTTAACAAATGGATCCATTGCACTTCAGTGAAATCTGTTTGAGCAATTCTCTCAATAGATTGCAATAATTATACTCCCTTCGTCCCTGAAAATTGTTCCATGTTTCCTTTTTGGGCCGTCCCAAAAAATTGTTCCCCTTTCTCTTTTTGGAAAGTTTTTTGTGGCTGTAATTCATTTACCTTTTTCTTACTCAACCACAACCATACATTTCCACTTTATTCCCACTTTCTTAAACTCCGTTCCAAGTCAATGCGGGAACAATTTTCCGGGACGGAGGGAGTATATAGTTAAAGTGAAGACGAGTCCCGTTCATTCTCTTCATAAATGGAGACAATTGAATATTGAAGAAATAGAATATCATTTATTCTCTTCATGGTTCGTGACAATTGCACCTGAAAAAGTCTGGTTTCAGTCACACTCTTCACAAATGGCGACCATTGTAGGTGTAAAAAAAATCAAATTCAACGATCCTCTTTACAGATTGTGACCATTGTAGGTGGATAAAGACGAACCTTAGTCATTTCTTTAAATATAATGGTGGTCATTTGGAGCTGAGCTCCATATCAGGACATGAATACCCTCATATTAGTGTATGTATGTTAATGCCAAAACATGAGAGTATGATTTTAACATTATATCATTTACTCATATTATTTTAATAAAACACATAAGCTCATGTTTTGAAATATCACATTATTTACTCCTATTTTGAGAAATCAAATCTTTATATTAAAAATATTATTAATTTAATAGGATTACTATAATACACGGGAGCTTAGTGCACTAAACTCTCTATATATGGAATACTGATGCATAACAACAATTTCATTAAAATAAGAATTAGCTATCAGGATATATAATGTGTTAGGGACAAGAGATTTGACACAATATTAGAAAATAACACGTAGTATTATTTTGTTGATATTGAATTTGTAAATATTTGGTCGAATAACAAACATACATTGGAAATGGAAAGAACAGAGTATGCGCAGGTTATGGGTGGGCAAACGGGTGCATGAATCGCGGGTCAGGCCGGGTTAATTAAGTCCGGGTCCTAATTTTTGAAAATCCAAACAGTTCGGGGCGGCGGGTCTTTAAAAACTTAGGAACCAAACGAGTCTGTAAATTTGAAAAAACAGGTACCCGGACCGCACCGTTTCAAAATATTATATATTATTTTAATAAATTCTATTATATTTAATATAATATACTAACAACCCACAAAGCTCTTCACGTTCTTGTGTCTAGACAAAAACTTTCAATTAAAGAAATTGGTCAGTCTATTAAAAAGAGTTCTTAAGTCCATCTAAACTCTTAAATTATTTTCCTCAATTCTCTATTCCAAATTAAATGCATCAAACTATTTTTTAATATTTTTTTTGTAAACAAATTTCCTTACTTGATGAAGTGTGAAATATTTGTAGTATTATCTTACGCTTACTTATATTTTAATACTAGTATATAATAAGCTTTAAATTATTTTCATAGGCAAATATGTATAGTAACTAGTTTATTTTTTGTGACTATCTCTTTAGTTTATGAATAATGATTAAAATTTTAATTTAATTAGGTGGATATGTGCTGTTCAATTTATAGATTTGTTATAAGATATTTTGTTAACTAAATTTAAAAATGCTATTTCATTTTTTATTTGGATTTTTACTACATTATGGATACATTAAAACTTAATTAGTTTGAGAATTTTATAACTTACTAGAATAATTGCTATATAGCATAGCCGAATTTGTTTTATAAAAAAAAAGAGAACCGAGAACTCGAACCGAACCGGCCCGTTTCAAACGGGGCGGGTAAAGTTTGGTACCTATTTCGAGATTTGGTATACTCGAAAGTCGAACCGAACCTACCCGTTAAATGGAACCGGTGGTTCTTGAAAATTTTTCAATTACCCTGACCGACTCGGACCGTGCCCACCTCTAGCGCGCCCAGGTAGTACAAATTTTAATTTAAGGTGCAGTTGAAATACATACCTAATACTCTCGAGTTAATAAAGAGTGCATTGGAATATTATTATACCGGTATTTATTAATAAAAGAAAAGAGGACTAAAAAAGTTCCTGAAATAGGATTAAAAAGTTTGAAAATTCCAAAATATGACTGTCATGATTTTTATTCCCAAAATAGGAGCAATTACTGTCAAGTTTGGAAAATACTGTCATGTTTGAAGTCTGGTACTGCCAAAACATGGCAGTAATTAGTCCTATTTTAGGAATAAAAACATGGCAGTCTTATATTGGAATTTTCAAACATTTGTAGTCCTATTTTGGGTAAATTCTCAAGAAAAGAATATACTTTAACTTAATTTTTCAGAATATACTCTGATTTCTGCGGTAAAAATTCCAACAATATGCTCCCTAAATATACTGCAGTAACCATAAACACAAAAAGCTTTACGCAAACATTTTATCCCTCGTTGTTACTCGTGCAAACTGCTTTTCGTTTAGTACGGCCAAACGGGGTACTATTTTTTATTAATTCTTTTTTAAAAAATGTAACTAACAACTTTGTCTTTCTACTTCTAAAGCGTGGAACATCATCTTGCATGCAATTATATTTTTATGAAATTTAGGATTAGTAGAACATCTTCTAAATTACAAACCCATCAAATAAAAAATTAATTAGATTCCTCCAAATTAACTGTCGGATGCCGTAGGGGAAGTGTACTTTTTAATATTTTAATCAAACTTTTCCAATGCATGCATGTTACATACGGCCGGAGCAGCACACACTACATGCTCCATCACAGTACTTCATTGCATGGACTTGGAAAGAGCCCCTTTTTTTTATGTTAAAAATTTATCACTAAAATTATATACATACATTTGTTTTTGTGATATCTTCCAACTTAAGTCTCTAAAAAAAGAAAATAACCAATTCAGGATGTTTTTAAAGTAACCAATTAAGTCTCTAAACTGTAATTTGCTGGTCTAGTCTGATCTGAACTGGTCTGGTCTGATAATGTCTGATTTCTTTGTATTTTTATAAATATCCAAGTCCGGTCTGGTCTGATGTGAACTGATCTTGTCTGAGATTGAAAACCGTTCAAGTAAAATCATCCTCAATATATGAGTAACATATATGGACAAAGTTTTTGTTTTGCGAAGTAGATCCACCATATATATCGACAAAGTTTAATACAAGAAGTAGAATTAATTAATTATATATAGGGTATATCCTATTAAATCTCAAAGTATAATATGACCTAATTAGAGTACTCTGTTTGGTAACTCTGAAATTGGCGGATTCGGTTGAATCTGTTGAAATTGATGAAATCCTGATTGAAGTGGATGAATTAATAGAATTTGACAACCTGTCTGCTGAGTTATGAAAAAATAAAATACAATTTATTAATAAAGTGAAGGAAGTTGTATGAAAGAATGGCTAAATTGATCCTCTGCAGTAAATTCAGTCAATTTCAACATTACATATTTTGATTATTGAATAATTCAGTGCGTGTAATAAAAGTTAGGTGTTTAGTAAAAATGTTGAATGAAAAATTAAAAATAAGAGTTACCGGGCGAGCTCTCAGTTCAAATAATTAAGGGAAGAAAAACAATAAATCTTCATGTTCTAGGAATCAGTTAATATTATTTCAGGAAAAATTAATGGTGCTATACTACGGAGTACTTATGGTTAGGGAAATTTCTTTATGTTCTACTTACAAACCCCATCCTTCCGCCACCATTAATAATAAGAATGTTTAAAAGGACATCTAGCATTTTTTTTGATATTTTTGTATATAAATTCGGACGTACCCATCCAGAATAAATTCAAAATTTTGATGTCTAAAAAACGGTTTACAAGATTGATTGAGAATAGAGATAAACATAAAATTATTTTTTTCATGATAAGCTTTGAGCTAATATTAGTAAATTAATTAATTACAAATTGAGAAAAAGTTACTAGTTCTATTAATTAGGGGAAAATAATATAAATACTCCAAATTTTGAAGGGTTGTGAAAAATACCCCGAAATTGATATAAAAAGTTATTTCCGCACTATGATTATATGTCATTTACAAATATAAGTTTATTGTATTAAATGCACAATTGAAAATGCTCCAAGTCTTTTTTGGATGCAGTAACATTCTAAACTTTTATTGGATAAGTAAATAATATTAATCCAGTACAATCTAACTTTAATTTCATCCTCATAATTAAGTTCGTTGTGTTTTTAAATTATTGACTTAATACCATAAAATTACATTTGTAAAAAACATATAATCATGATGCTAACACGTCTTTTTATAAAAGATTGAGGTATATATATTAGATGTGCAAGTTTATGGTACTTATCTTACATCCCTTTAAAGTTTGAGATATTTGTATTATTTTCCCCTTAATCAACTACAAAGTCAAATTAAAAAATGATTACAAATTGATACTCCAAATTAAAAAATAAAATGAAAATACGTAGTATTATGTCAATTAAGTTCGAGAAAGTTTTTTCCCATAACAAAATTAGATGACTAATGATGCTATATAAGAGGCATTGATCTTAAGACAATCCTCACTGAAATTAGAGAGATAAAGAGTGGGTGGGGGTGGGGTGGAGGGGTTTCTTTAAATGCCCCATTCAAGAAATTTCATTCCAAATGCGACCTACTATCAGGAAGAAGAAAACTTCATATCTTAGCTTCTCATAGAGAAATCAAACAACCCTCCCTCCACTAGCTTCCCTTTCATCTTCCCATTTTCTCCCATATATTACTCTTAGGATCAACTTAACCACCACAAGTTTTAGACTTCTTAAAAACCCCTCACTCAACTGATCATGATGATGAACCCAGAAAAGGGGCCCACAGAGATGACTGAAACACAGCAAACCTTCAGAACCCAAGAGGAAGAAGAAGCAGAAGAAGAGGGTTTGGGCAGTGGTCAAACCAAGCGGGAAGTCAACGTTAATGGAAGCAGCAGCAGCAACAGTACGGTCGAGGAGAACAATAACGGCGGGAAGAGTAAAGGAAATAACTCAGGCTCGGTAAGGCAGTATGTCCGTTCCAAAACTCCGAGGCTCCGGTGGACTCCGGACCTCCATCTTTGCTTTGTTCATGCAGTGCAAAGGCTGGGAGGGCAAGAAAGTAATTCCACTCTACCTCATCCTCCTCCAAAGTTTCTTTCTTTCTTTCTGATTATCTACACATTAATTAATTAATCTAGTTTAGTTTCATGATCAATCTAATTTTATATATATAGAATTTGATCATTTCAAGATTTGATCTTGTGTGTAGGAGCAACCCCCAAGCTAGTTCTTCAATTGATGAACATCAAAGGACTTAGCATAGCTCATGTCAAGAGCCACCTACAAGTATGTTTATAAATTCATCTTAATTGTGTCTTTCACTACAAAAAAAACGAGATGATTTGACACGGATTTAGCGAGGATTCTGTGTCAAATAGCTCGTGCCAAACTATTTTTTTGCATATAACTGTCAAAATCCCTATCAATTTTGGAAATCACTGACTAACATCTCTGGCAATTCAACAACGTGTTTTTTTGTAGTAATTTCTTGAATTTATTTAACAATTTTTTAATTGATAACCATATACTCCGTACTATGTATGATTAATTGATTTCCCTTTTTTCATGAATATTTGAAATGGCAGATGTACAGAAGTAAGAAAGTGGATGACCCATATCAAGGTATATTTTGCGGAAATAACCCTAAAATTCGATAGGCTTTTCGAATTTCGTTTTTTTTCTTAATTGTTATTCAATTTATAATTTATTTTGGGCTTCTTCAAATTAATTAAATTCTGAGAATATTTTTGTGTAACAGTTACACCTAATGCTGGAAGGCTGCTGCTTGAAAATGGAGACCCACACATCTTTAACTTCAGCCAGCTCCAAAGGCTACAAGGATTTAACCAAATACCTAATACAGGTTTGAGGTACGTTTGTACTGGATCCGTGATTATTTTATGTATAAACGATTATGCTTTCATTTTTTAAGTTTGGGCTTTGAATTAAAGTTAAATGTGTATAACATGAACTTAGCTTGTAAAAGAAGAAAGAATTGAATGACATCAACTAGTTCATATAGTTCACATGAGAAAGGTGGGGAGGGTTTTATTTAATTACTTGTATTTATTCTCTAATTGAAATATTTTCTAAACCTTTTGTTTCAATTCTGTTTAACAAAAAGAAGCTCTAAAACAAAAATTCACCTTTGTTTTGTCCGTTTCTTCATCACAAAATAAGGAATACAAATAGCTCTTAAAAGATCGAGATAAAAACGAGATGCAAAATCAAGTTTTTCCCTTTTGAATGCATGTTCATTATTTCAAGTTTCAGTTCCATTGATGTTTGAGGAAACATGAACTTTTAGTGTCCATCAAAATAAAATCACAAAATAACTTATTTATATGCACCATTTGAATTTGCACCCATTTTAAATCAAATTTAACTGTGTTCCTCATTTTCAAAATAATTCGTGTTTGCACCCCAAAATTCACGAAAACAATTAAAATGCGCAGCAAACTCCAGTTTAATTAAAAGAGTGAATGGGGCGAAAAGTTTAATGTTTAGGGTGCAAATATTTATCAATATTGAAAATCAAGCGCATACTCAAATTCAATTGAAAAAATATGGTGCAAACTAGCTCCCATCTCCTTTATTTAAATTGTATACTATATATGGACTTACAATTACGATTCAAATTAATTATTGACGCTTTTTTGAACATTCGACTATTTAAGTACTTAACATTTGGTTTTAAGAATATACACTCGTGACATGCAAGTTGAATGTTTATTGATATTATTGTATCAATTAAACTGTTATGAATTACATAGAAACTTCTTGATTTTTCCTATATATCGTACGTGGATTCATAATTTAGAAAATAGTCTAAGGCACCACAACACCTCATATTTCGAGAATTTCATTCATTTGTTCATATTTATATACCTTTGTTGAAATACCGTACTTCTCGATCATACATTGGTAAAAAATAAAAATGATCTAATAAACTATACTATAAAGATATCAAACTCCTCCTATTCAATGAACATTTTAAAATGAAACTCTGAATTTAACATTATATATTAGAGCCAAATTGATTTATAACCAGTTATTATGAGTAAAACAAGTGGTGATTTCTAAAATATGACTAATAGTTTTTTATTTCTAAATTAATGTATTTTACGTGCATGTTTTAAGTGATTCCTAAAGTATGTGTTTGATGTTATTTTCACTCCATTAAATTAATTATTACTCATATAAAGTACTCATATAAAGTCATGCGTTTGCTAATCATAAATTAGGAACCTCTGAATATTTAACCACATGTAGATAAATTTTTCAAAAATAAATAAATGACATTTCAGAATGAAATCACGAATCTTAACAAAATTAAATATTTCATATATTTATAAATTTTAGTATACGTTGTACATTTTATCAAATAAACTGATCTAAAACAATAACTTTTGTGGTCAAAAGTATCAATTGCATGATGTATTAGTTTTAGTATAATTTGGTCATTTGTTTCGTCTAATCCATCAAATTCCGAGAGAAGACCATGCTTTTGCACCGTGTGCTGTTAAAAAGGTGTCCGCTTTTTAAACAAACTTTTTGCCGCCCTACTCGGTTTTCATTTTAGACTTCCAAAAAGGCAATAACACAATTCTTCTTTAATTCGAAACCCTTCTATATACTACTCTATACTACTTTGTACTAAATTACAATGGTCGAACTTTAATTTTCATCATTTTATACTACTCCGTATAAATTAAAACCTTAATCTGATGAAGATATATGATAAATACTTGTGTTATATAAGGGCTTATTGGTCTTTTAAGATCTTTATTAATTCATTACTGTGGGCAAACAAATCTATATTACTTTCATTTATGAACTTCCAAACTAATATTCCAAGGAGTAGTCATTGAGGATAGTTAGTTTATATATAAAAAAGTTGAGGATGGTTTAGGTTTGAGTGCATAAATTAGGTCTCCTTCAAATGGTTCAACCATTTTTTTGTACCTACATTTAACAATTACGGAGTACATGTTTATAAAACTATTAATGAAATTTTTAACCAATTCCGATCCATTAAAGTGTTCTTGTATAGTGTTTTCCTCTTTATAGTTAATACTAGCTAGTAATAATAAATGTTGCTACTTTTTCATAGGTTTGAAGACAATTCATGGAGCCGTCAACCTAGTTCATCTCTTTACAATAATCCTTATCTCAATGGATCTACCTCCAACAATATAATGATCAATCACGGATTTGGGGCAAACTTCTTGAATGGCCGCCGCCTTTCGGACTTTCCCATGATGTCACCAAGACCACAAGGTCCACAATGCTCCCACCCTTTAACCCCCGGACACAATGTGAAAGTGATGCCCCCGCCCCCTCCGCCGCGGTTCCCGGCTCACAGATTTCCCACCGCCCCAAACAAAGTCCGGGTTCCGGCAGAAGCGGCGGGAGCATCATCATCGGACCCCGTGAAAAGGAATTTTCCGGAGTCCGATGTGAATCTTGATCTTAACCTATGTTTAAAGAGCAAGGATGTCAATGACCATGGGAAGAGAAAGAAGGTTGACCATTTCGAAGGTAGTACTATGTTGTCTCTTTCCTTGTTCTCTTCATCTTCCCCAACTGCAAGCGAAGCTGATCCAAATACTGATAAAACAACAAGAGTAAAGGAAGCTACTAGTCTAGATTTGACTTTGTGAATGAGAAGAAATTAAAGCTTTGATTTTCATGAACAAGCTGAGATTTTGGGCACTCTTTCTTGGAGTATACATATGAAGGCATCATCAAATGGTTTAACAGCGAGTGGTAAATCAAACATGTCCGGGATACATATAAAGGTCTATAGTGTAATATACATGTGTTCCTTGTAATAACAATAATACTCTCCTTTTTTGTACTTTTTCAAAGACAATAAAGATGCAACAAAAACATACTCTGGATGTGTTAAATACATGTTACATTTTCATGTTCTCTTCCATTATGTGTAGTATGTTACATTTTCATATTCTCTATTCAGAACACTTTTTCACCTTTTCTCAATGTTCACTACAATTCCATGCATGAAAAAGAATTTAATTAGTGACAAGTAAAACTAAATGCAAAAAGCGTTAATAAGTTTAGAGTCATATTTTTGTAAATCGTTTTTATTTTGATCATACTTATGTAATTATTTCATAAGTTTATTATATAGTTTCATCGGCTACTGAGCTAGTTATGTGCGCCAACATATATAGTGTTCTTTATGTTTTATACAATAACAAATTAGAACAAATTGACGATTTAGTCCGGTATTGTAATACTAGTACTATTCTTTCATACTCTCGTGATTTACTTGTTCTACACATCGTTTCTTTACACAATATTACATGTAAAAGTGAACTCATTAGATTGTGTTAGTCTATGTTAAAGTATTTGTTCCACATCGGAACACTATAAAATACTATGTTTAACACTATATAAAATTTTGTGTCATTTCTCCTATATATCAAGTTGACCTTTAAGAATAGAACCTTAGGTCTTAACAGTCTAACTCGTTTATTTAAGTTCACTCCACTCTTTTTTCAATTCATTGTTTAATCTCATTATGATTTTACCATATTAAATCATATTATAACATTATATTCATTTCAATCAAGAACCGTTGCAAGACCTAAATGCAAATAGTAACAAGTACGGAGTATACTTTAGTTGAGAAAAGTAGAAAGTAGATACAAAATGTTCTATCAATTATTAGACCTGACCAAATCAAGAAAACTTCATCCACATTAATGTTAATCTTGCAAAATGTTCTACCAATTATTAGACCTGACCTGGCACTAGAAAGTATGTTTTCCGATAATAAAAAAATACTCCGTAGTTCTGATGAAAATGCGTTAAGCTATAGAGGACTAAAAATGGACACATAAGTTATGAGACAAATTAAATTTACAATTTTTCTCTATGTACTGTTAGGGCAAATCATTTAGCTTCTTGTAGTGTGAGCATGTCCTTAATTAGTATTAGCAAATAAATACCATGAGTTAGTACATAGTATAAAGTCAAATTTGGAAGCACATTAAAAAAGAGCCAGTGTAAAGTTAAATTGTGTGAAACTTAACACAAAATAACTTTTTTTGTTGTTCAAAAATATATACATGCAAATGATGCCTACACATTTTGCTTCTTTCGACATACATGATGCATCATAATAATGAAATATGTGACCACTGACCACTGAATATATATACATAGCTAGGCAGCCATTGATGAAGCTAAGCAGTGTTAGGTATTTACAGTTGAGAGGTACAAACCAAACCCGAGAAGTAAGTCGATGAGGAGGAGGATGTACATTATATACTGGGTATATATATATGTATGTACCCTATTAATTATGCCTCGATTTGGTAGGAAAGGGTATGCCCTAACCAAACCTGAAATGGCATTCAACTACTTAACAATCATTGAACCAAATCTCTAGCAGCCTCATCTACTTGTCCGTACGTACCATACATGGAATTTAAACTGATTGAATTGGGTAAAAACAAATGCTAGCTAGCTAGCTAGAATAAACATGTCTAGTTAATTGATTAGTAGGATAGATGAAATTCTAGGCCCAAAAATCCCATTTTCTGCAAAAGTCATCGTATAAATTTCACACAAAATTGGTTTTTGTTTTTATTTTTTGGCAATATTGTCCAAAAAAAGTTGAATCCTCAATGGCCTCAAGTCCCGACTCGACAAAACATATGTGGGTTGGAAATTACGGTTACTCAACCAGTCATAAATGTGGTAGACCTTATTATATTCCTGCACACCGGAGACTATACCAGCGCACTACACAAGAGTTGTGTTCTCCACGTGGTCACTGCAAATTTCGATTCTTGATCATTGTTCAAACTTTCTCACTACTTTACCAGTTGATTTACTCGTGCGAGTTGTTTTTCGACAATATATATTCATAGGATGGAGATATTACATATTTTTAGAGTGTACCCAAAATACGTACGGCAATAGTTTCCTTATGCAATTGTATACATCAAGACAAGAAAGAGTGAAAAGACTAAAGTGATGATGAGAGTGTGAGAGACCATTTTTGCTTGTTCCAAAAGGTGGAATCCCACCCCAGGAGCCCCCACGTACACCCCGACCCGACAGAATGGTGGAGGAGTAAGTCACGGTGACTTAGTCGGCCCAATGGTGGTAGGCCTTATATCCGTGCGCACCAGAGGTTCAACCCAATACGCTGGAACTATAACCTTCACACGGCCACTGCGGGTTTCGAACCTTGGTCATTGTTCCAAATTTCCCACCACTCAACAAACTGAGTTGCCCGTGCGGGTGTGAGAGACCACGTTTGCAATACCACCAGACCGTAGTTAGTTGGATTCAAGTTATTTGTTTGTTCTATTTTATGTACAATAAAGATTTTTATCACAAATAGATCGAATAAGAGAACTAAAATAAGTAGTTTTTGACTTATCAATTTGGCTTAAACGAATTTTATCAACGGTTTATATGTCTTCACAAAATTGAGAAGATTTACTCAATCCAATATCTCTATATCCATTTCCATTATATTGAAGTTTTCTTGAATCATCTCCAACCCCGGCCCTTACTCCTAACGCAAAAGATGCCATATATATTATCACTACTTACTAGGCTTAATATTTTATTTCAAAGTTTGTGGTGCTAGAAGCTTGATTATCATTACTTACATGATGTCCCCGTGTATTCAACAGGTCATACCTTTGCTTGAGCATGACTTTCGCACCTCCATAGCCTACATCTATTTATAGGAAAAAGTAGTCGTCACTCGTCGGCCAATCTATCTTTTAGAGAAATTTTCCGGAACAAGGTAAAAATAATGTTAAATTTCAAAACAATTGTACGGAGTAGTATATTTTCGAGAAATTTCGAATTTGCGCCTCACTTTTTGGTGGTCGATATTGGACATTGTACTCCATTTTTTTAAAAAAAATTGACTCTCCATTCTCATCGTATAACATTTTGTGAAGAAAAATTTCTCAATGAGGTGCAAAGTTAAAGGATTTTTAAGAAAAATGAGATGCAAAGTCAAAGTTGTTTTAAAATGGAGTGTAAAGTCCAGGACCGGCCCAGGGTGTGTGCCACCAGTGCGACCGCACAGGGCCCATGAATTTTGATGGCCCAAATTTTCACTAGTCCTTCTATTATTATCCATAAGTAAAGTCCAAGATTCGTATGCTTCATTGAAAAATTTAAACTACTTGGTTGATGCTAACATTTTTCGAATTTTCTTTTTTATACTACAAATTATACAATTATTGATATAACTCATAAGATCTTAAGCCTTATAGGCTTATACCATCAACTACAATTATTGATATACTACATATTAATATGTAATCATGCATAATAATAACTATTTTTTATTTCATGCCATTATTAAATTAAAAAACTATTAGATATGTATGAAATATTCATTTCGTTTATCAATTATATTTATATTTTTTTATATAAATATTTGTTTGACAACTTATTCATTTAATTCCAAACAATCAAACACATCTTAAATTTATGAATTCTATTTTAGATAATGATACATTAATTTCCAATTTAATCTTATAACATTATTAATCTTCACTTATATTATTACTTATATTTTTACCTATTTTTAGGAAAAGGCCCACATTTTATTTTTTGCACAAGGTCTGTATTCTCCCAGGACCGGCCCTGGTAAAGTCTATCACTCAAACAATTGGATGCAAAATCAAAATTCCCCTACATTTTTCTTACATATGATTTTATTACTGTATTCTTTAAATCATAATGCGCATTATTAGACATGATGATAATATTAATGTCATACTAGTATATATATAATTGAAAGTATCATTCAAACATCACAATAATAATCGAAATTTCACATTCTTTTTACTTATACTTAAGTAACTTTTTATATGTTTTACAGAGTATTAGATCGAGTTATCAAAATGTCCTTTTATATTTTTTAACACCCTCTTCTTATGACGACATCAAGAAAGTCTGATTAGAACACGCACGGGTAACTCAACTAGTAAAGCGGTGGAAAAGTTGGAGAATTGGTTATTGATCGAAACTCGCAGCGACTGTGTGGAGGTCACAACTCCTATGTGTTGGGTTAGACCTCTAATGCTCACGAGTAAATTAAAAGGTCTACCGCTTTTAGGGTTAATTGAGTCACTGTTAGGCCACGAAATAATTCAAGAAATTAATTTGGAGTCCAGCCCAAAAGCAAATATATAATCAAGTGGCCTGATCCAACACTATGCCTAGATGGATAAGGATGTGGAGGTTTGACTTGGCTGGTGTAAGGGAGTGGTAGAACTAGCTAACAAATTCCCTAATTCCATGGCATATTGGCGTAGGAGAGGGAAGTGCCTGGAAGTTAGGCACATTAGCTTCATTTTAGCAATTATAAGTATAAATAGAGAGCATTATTTCATAGGCGAGGTAGTCCACTATCAGTTATATAATATTGATATACGAAGCTTTTTACGATCATTCTTGTTTAAATCTATCAACTATCAATTCTTGTATTCAGCAACAAAGTTCATAAGGATAATTTTAGCCTGCTATTTCTTTGATTATTATCTTGCTCGATCCCATCTTTTAATTTTTGATTGTTAGAAGAAATAATTATTTCTTGCTAAAACAATTTGGCGCCCACTGTGGGGAATCGTGCAAGAAAAAGATCAATTATGGAAGGAACGAATAAATTGTTGATTGAATTCCATGAGCAATTAGAGACGGTCAGGCAAGAAATCCAGCAAGAGATGGCGGAGAAGATGGCCCATCTTCAACGGGAGAACGACGTGCTTCGATCCAAGGTGCAGTCGGCGGTATCAATAGCTTCAAATTCAAGACTCCAGCGGAGGAGTGACACTATGATTGTCGCAACAAGGCTGAATCTCGATTTCTGCCTAGCTGCGACGGATCCACCTGAAGCGTCGACGGATCCACTAGCAATGTCGACGGA